CGCATGCATCCTTCTGGGTGATTGACAGACATCCATCTCCTGAGCCGGTTTGCTCTGTGTGGTCTCTATACAGTGGACAGTGGAGCAAGGCTAAAGCGGCAACTTGTGAAGCCAGCTCGAAGCCAAGATGCCCCACCAACTTAAGCAGTCCGTTCCCGGTACCAGGGACCATGCATTGTCAGAGGCTAGTGGAGGTCCTGGTGTCACCTAGCAGCGCTCGTAACGATGCTTCTCCCATTTTCTTGAGAAAAACGATGCTAGCTTTGTGGTGGCCTACTTCTCTTTGAGGTCGCGAAAATGACGTTCTATGGTGCTACTCTTTGTTTGGATTAACTAGCCTTGCAAACTGTTGCTGTTTACTCAACAAGGAGTAACGTGACATGCGGTATAATGGTGCTGCCATCTAGCAATCTTGGACATGGACATGCTACATCAAGTGCTTTATCCATCTTACCCAAATGAAAAGGATTGAAAAGGATTGCTTTCGAAACAGGAACGTGGTTTTACAGGCTTTGTCAACATGCGACGTCGCTAGTCGGTAGTAACCCCAAGCGCCTTGCTAGCGCTGGAAACTTCCACAGCTGTCTGCCCTGCTGCTCTTGCTGCCTCATTCTTGGTCGCGCCGGCTATCTTCGCAGCACTTTCTGCGGCATCAGCAGCAGCAGCTTCAACTTGTGGCTCTGTCATGCCGGCATTTCTTGCAGTTTCAGCTGCCTTGATCCCGGCAGTGTTAGCCGCACTCTTCACAACTTCTTCCGGAGATGCTCCTGCGGCCGTTGCGGCCTTTGCAGCGATCTCTCCCGTGGCCAAAGCTGCTGCGGTCCCATTCTGCTTGACTGAAAACATGTCCTAGCAGCACATTAGAAGAAGGCCACGGCTAGACATTGCCTTCTGCAAATATAAGGGGTGGTACATCAAGAAGTAAGAAGTCTAACAGCCAAGAAACTGTGGCTTGAGCAGCAGACGTGCCCAGTAGAAGCAACCAAATTCTCCTCCTCCACCTCCAGGATGTGTCCGACTGAATCTACTAGCGACTGGTCTACGCAGTCCTTATGACCCCAAACATGTGAGAGCTAGCTATGTGATAGATGGTGTCATGACGGCCAATCGGCTCTTGCGATGTCGTTGCAATACTCCACTTCGTTTGCAAACTAAAAATGTCAAAGATGCTGAAGTCGTAGGAATGATCGGCAACTCAATCAATAGGCACAGTGGAACGCTGTGACGTGCAGGCCCGAATGCATAAGATTGTATAGAGTGTGGATCCAGCACATAGTTTATGCGAAGAGGATTGGGGTATGACCACTGCACAAAAAAAGCAATGCGTTGAGGCAAGCACCAAGCAAACATCGTGACATTCAGTGAGACTTATCGTTTTGCACCCTACAGTATCTTTTTGGTCTAGTGAGCATGGTGTGGCACTGTGACCCCGTCCTGATCTTTGGTCTAGTGAGCATGGTGCCTTTCAGCCCCTTGGCCTTCAACCTCGACAGCGGCAGTGTGTCTCAAGTGTCTCAAGTGATAAATTGTTGATGCACCAGCGAACGTGATACAACTTGGCTGAGTGGCCGTGGAGCTCGGAACCCGCCGAGCACGGGTGGAGTCTTTGAGCTGAAATGCAGAGCAGGGTGCTTGTTATTCACGTTACACTTCCTTCGCTGTGAATCTGCTTGGATGGTATCTGGCACATATGATGCATTATAACCCTGATATCTCACAAGACGTACCTGCTTTTTCGCATCGGACGCTCATTACATCCTAAACATTATGCAGGTCTTAAGATGGCGAATTGCTCTAGATCTTTCCTGCATCACCCAGATCTGACAAGTCTTCCCTTTCTCAAAGAATGCTGTCTGCCATTTCCATGATCAAAGAAATATAGCATCTTCCAATCGGGAAGGCTAGGCAAATCTGACAAAGGAAATGCCAGCATTGTGCACTTGTCCGCTAAGGTGGCAAACCAACACCGCTAGACAAGGGCCATCTCCAGGTTAGCCGACCCATGTTAGCAAGGCTCCAGTCAGTTTGCGGGAAACGCATGGAAACACTGGTGACTATTGGGACGGATGTTAGTGCGTGGTGTGCACACTCGCCGGCAAATATCTCAAGATTGATGTTGTGCAAGACTGCTCAAGCGTCAGCTGCCTCAGCTGTGGGGCACTAAGTGCAAGCACGCCAAGTTCAAGTACATTCACACTTTGCAACCACATTTGTTTCATTTTGGGTCCATACTACTTCTGGGGTCTCTTCAGTCTCTTTGGCAGCGCTCTCCGCGCTTTCGTCCTTGTCCTCCTTCTCTTCCTCGATTGAAACGGAATTTGCTTTCTAATCTCCATCCAGGCCGTTCAGGTGTTCAGCCTGACTAAACTTACGTACTCTTAGACATTGGTTGTGTGAACACTGTCCTCTTCGGCCTTCTTCTCAGGCGCAACTACCACAACCTTGGCTGTTGAGTCCCTCAACTATTGCCGCCCTCCAGTCCCACCCAGCTGTAGCGGCTTTCATGCACACACGCGCACAATACATGCACTCCAAAGTCTGTGCATGTTTGAAGCGCCTCAGCGGGAAGGACGACTTTGCCGTCACACTTGTAACCTGTTTTCCTCGGCTTCTGGACAATCAACACTACAAGCATCTCGCCTTTGCCAGTGCCTGTTGTTCCAGTTTTCACAGAGCAAGCTGCATTGACATGAAGATACTTGTTCCATAGTTTTCAGCTTAGTTGGGCCGTGACAGTGCTACTGTGTCGCGAACAAGCTTCACAACCTCGAGGATAGTTCCAGGCTCTTGACCGTCAACTTCCCTTTCTTCAGCCTAGACTCATGGGCACTTCAACTCGCGTTTCAAAGGATAGAGTCGAGTGGCAGTAAGTACTTGGGCTCCCAGCGATTTTATGGCTGGTTTCATCAAACTTTTCACCTGGTGCTGCATCAAACCTGAGAGGGGCCGTTTTCTGTGCGAGAAGTGACGTACAGGTACACACAAAACCTGCCCTTTGATACCCATTGATGCAAGAGTGGCACGTTTGGACACCGTCCTTTGCCCACACGTCACCAACTTTCCGGAAAAGCAGAGAGTAGGAGTCGTGGATGGCCTGCCAAGAGTAGAAGGACTGTCTCAGGTCTCTATCCGCGAGTTTGGCAGCGCCACTGCAAATTGTATAGCTGCAGCAACTGCTCCGTTGTCTGGTGCTTCAAACAGAAAAACATGGAACAACTCCCGGCAACGGTTCTCCGCTCATCACTGGCCTTGTCCTTCTCATCCATGCCTATCAAAGGTCAATGTGGCAAGGTGGTGCAGTGAACTTGCCGCTGGTTGCACCATGTTGCAACTACTTCTGTCCCCTGCATCCCATAGACCCACTTGCTGTCAGATAGCCGAGGCACCCTCAGGTTCTACCAGGGCTTCAGCAATGTCGTCATTGAAAGGCAAAAGCTTTTTCAGAGCATCCTGCGCAAAAAGGCAATACAAAATGGCCAAACCGCGGCAAGCCTTTATGACATGAAGAAAGAATGCCCAACAGTCCACGTATATCTCACCGGCAAGATGTGACTAATACAAAAGCAGGTCAAGCAAGTTTCACACAGTGCGTTTTCAGTTTCCGCCGTCCAGCTTGCCAAGATCTTTTGCCCGGCCCATGGCCTGTGGGAGGCTTCACGATTCGCTCTTTGTCCTACCTCTGTGCTCCGCTAAAGGTGTTCACATCTCTTTCAGGTACATTAGCAGGATCGGGCAGGATTTAAGCCCGACCTCATCGTGTTGCCTTCGGTAGTTTTGCAAGTCTGCCTGGCATGGCCATCGAGGGTTTAGCGTATCTTGACTGTCTCTTGAAGCAGTTTCGCCTGCATGCGCAAGAACCCGTCCATGACTTTTGCGATTTCCTCCTTTGCCTGCAGGGTATTGGTGCTTTCATACGTGCCGCCAGGGCCAAGTGCGGCCAAGTCCGAGCCTGATCCCTCTCCTCCACCATTTTTGCTTCTTCAGGTGAAGGCTTGGAAGCCCCACACTTTTCACACTCCGTGGCAGCAGCAAAATTCCTTGCAACATTCATGGCTTGATGCAAACTATTTGTGATGATTTAATGCACTGAGAGAGCGGCATGCTGCCACAGTCCAGGCATTTCCATTTTGCAGGTTTATTCCTAGTCACGGGAGGGACACAACGGCAGGTGACAGGTAGACCTTGTTCAAAAGACTGAATATTCATGCCAGTGGAACTTGTGATTACGCGTTGAACATGTTGCTGCTATTTGCCGGGGGAGGATTGAGCTACAAATTCGTTTCCATCCAAGACTCTCATCTTCCTCCCCTTCCTCGTTAGCTTCGTCTTCGTCATCCGCCACATCCTCTTCATCCGCTTCCGGGCTGTCCTACAGGAGCGGGAAGACTGTCTGGCTTGCACATATTTGTCAATGTGTTATTGCCAAGTTGTTTTTTGCATGTCCTCACTCTCAGCCTTGGCGCCTTCTGTATTTTCTGCTGCTTCCTTTGCCTCCCCCTCTGCCTGCAGCCCAACTATTCTGTACCCTTTCCGCGAGTGGGCGCTTGTTGCAGCGATGCCAGCGAGAGCCAAGCAAGCGGTACTTCCGAGAAAAGCTTCAGCAAATCTGCTTTGAGAGGAGTCGGAAGCGAAAGCCGCTCTCTCGGCCCTCTGTCCGTGGGCAGTTTCAGGTTTGGCACTACTCCGAGCTGGGGCCACAAAATCGCAGGAGAGCTTGGATGCCCAAACTGCAAGTGCTGCAGCTAGTACGACGATAGCAGGCTTAGTCTTCGTCATGGCCGCGTCCCTGCAATGCCCAACAGGAGAAGCTGAGCCAACATCACGGAAAGGTGTACAGACTCATTGGAGTCCCTACTTTCAGGCAAGGGTGAACACATGCTAATAGATGCGATATAGTCAAATGAACCAATAGCAGGACACAATGTGCAGGGTTTGACCATGTGACAGTGCCCAAGTGTCAAGGGATTCATAATGATGCCAAAGACCCTTGGGCCCGCTGCAGCAGTTTCGGTGCAGGAGTATCGTCCGACCTGTGTGCAGCGCTCCGAAACCGTGGGTGGGGCTGAGGGGAGCTGACAACTGGGATGCCGACTCAACGCTCTCCTGACACTTGAATCAGAATCAATCACATTCATATATAGAATGATATAGATATATAGATAGACATATAAAATTCAATCATATGATTGGACGCTTTGCCTGCTCAAAAGATTCTGTAGAGGCGCAGGAAGCCCCTCAAATCAAGCACGGAGATTGTTCTGATCCATCAGTAAATGATTTTTTTAGCTGTCTGCGTGGTGGATTTCAAGGCTTTGAGCCCCAAGCCGATTACACAATTGTCACCCTCACCTGGGCCATTCGAAGGCACATGGCATCCCTATCGAAAAACAGAGTGGTGTAGGGTACTTGTAGGGCATGAGTGTTGGGTCAGACTTGATCTCTATTCCTAAGCCCCTAAGCCTGCAACTTCTCTTGGCTGAGACGTGTTGAGGGCTTGTGCGGGGTGTCTCCGACCACCTTAGCGGTGAGCATCTCAATCAGCACTTCTTGTATCAGTCTGGATCAGTGAAATGTCTTTAATATGTTTCAATTGAGGCAAGGTCTGCCATCGGCGCGGGCAGCAGCTAGCGCGAAACATCCCCATTGACCTGCCAAAGTCATAAAGCTTACCAACGTTTTAATAAAGGCTGATTGGGCATCAGGACTTTGTAATGCATCTTGCTATCCTCCATATCCACATACAGGCCTTGGAGAAACAGCGCTCCTCCAAAATTCTCAACGAATCATGTCATCACATCTGACGGACGCTGACCAAACAACACCATCTGTTGCATAATTGTGCAATACCTGGGTTCAACGCTCCAACGACAGGCCAACAAATTAGCATAAGCAGTGCATAAGCCGAGATCCCATTCACTTTACAAAACTTTAGAAACGCCTAGGGGGCTTGTTGTGGTCTGTGACTTTGCAGGTCCTCCGCTGGTGGGGGCATCCGTGGAAAAAGCACTAGCCGCAGCGCCCGGCTGCTACCAAGAGACTTGATCTAATGAAGCACGGAGTGAGCAACTCACTTATCTTGATCATCCAACGCGGTGAGCCGAAGTCTTGGCCACAGTTGAGCTGCAAGTCTACCCATTTTTGATGTCCAGCTCAGAAGTGAATGCTAGCCGCACAGGCGGTTCCCTCTGGTTGTGCATTGGCTACAACATTGCTGCTCCCCATCTGCCCGGCAGGCCAGGAGCGCACGTAAACCTACAATCTACAAAGAAGCTCTTAAAAGAAACGTTTTGGCAGCCAGGCATTTCGGCCCGATATTCCGGACAGTTGTCGTCCTGTGATGGGGCTTCGCCCAGGGCTTCTGTCCGACATCTCTGAGTCTTGCTCGTCGCTGTCATCCTCTTCATCGTCAGAATCTGAACTAGCTCCTTCGATCCCGGACCTTCGGACCATTGCTTTTGTTTCCAACCAATCTCCGCTGAGAAGAAACAATAACACAAGACAGCAATCGTAAGGCAGCGTCGCAGCCATCCGCTGCCTGCGCGCCTTGCAGCATTCAAAAATTGCGAGATGATGCAAACAATAACATGGATGACGGACCACGGAATGCCCTTCGAGTGCACCCCAGGGCCTCTTTAACCTTGATCCATGCGGCCCAGCCCACCAGGAACTTGTGCGTCAAAATGGCCTTGTGCAAATGCACGCGCACACACACACACATCGCGTTGCTTCCGGTATTCTGCTGCTGGGGAGGCCACACATAAAGGAAACCTCACCGTCACTTGACCCAGTCCGCACAAAGAAGTAACATCACACAACAACGGTAGGGCTCTGGCAAAACCAAACCTTGAAATCGCTCAACTGGAAATGGACAAGATCAGCACATGATGTGTTGGTGCTGTGGGCTGTCGTTGTCAACATCTAAGTCCATCACCGACAACAACCTGCAAAACCCACATCCATCCAACCTCAACTACGAAACAGCTTCTTGCAGCCGCTGCATGTTTGGTTGGCTGTATGAATTTAAGAGCGTACAGCGTCTACGCCACATTAGGCCCGGAACCCCAGAGATAACAATGTTGCAAATTCCCCATCGCACCACCTCTGTGAACATTTAACAAACATCGCATTTGAGGATCAAATGTCGTGCAAAAGTCAAAACACCTGGATGTAGTACGGGTAAATGTTGTCACCCTTCAGCAAGATTCTCGCCCTGAGGCTTTTACAGTCATATGTGCTTTCAAGCGTTGATGGCATGGACTCACTCTTGGCTCTTCGGCACCTTGCTAGAATATCTTTGGCTTTTCGGGCGATAGCATTGACATCCAATGTCATGAAGGCTGGACCTAAAGAACAGGAAACATCAGGCGGCTAAAGAGGCTCGACTGTGAGCAAGGACATCAGGTCCGGCAAATCTGGATGCACTTCAGGCATAGGCATACCATTCCGAAACCTGCAAGTGCTATTGATGCCTGCAGCTCCGTCAAAAGAACAAGGACCCATTCGCACGTACACACACAAACTTCGATTCATAGTTCCGGTGAAGGAACGTAAACTCCAGTGGCGTTCAGTTACGCAGGTCCATTGACTGCTTAGTTGCTGCAGAACAAAAAGGTGAAGAGTCAGTGCAATTGAAAGTTTTTGAACATCGCCTCATCAAAAAGCGACTCAGCGGCTGCATTAGCACATTATTGAAGAGTTAGAATGAGTTAAAATGATTTAAACATTAAAACATCCAGGACAGTACCAGGTACATGAACCACCATGAAACAAACCAAGGGACCACAACAAGCAAACAACAGTTAAAGCAGGTACAGGTGGATGATCAGTCCGTGCGACACACACACACTTGTAGAAATGCATACTGATTTGGTTGCGGTTTGCCACACGCCAGCCTAAACGAAAAACCTAAGAAGTCAGGTGATGTAAGCTGAACCTGAAAAGTTCTAAGACGCGGTTCGTTCAAGACTCCAAACTTCAAAAACCAGTTTCAAAGTCAAGTTGACAAGCAACCTCGAGCGACGAATGCATTAGCCCTTGAATGCACATCTGCCGACCTCTGAAACCTCACCAGCCTGGGCTCTAGAGTGGATTGTGGTTACTCAACGCCACACACAGTTGCAGGTACGTTGACAGGACGTCTCCCGTCGATATCACGAGCAAGAGATAGGTGTCTTCGTTGGTACCTGCCCTATCTCTGCTCCAGGTGCCCCCTGCTGAAGAAAGAGGAAAAGTACAACAAACATTCCAAACGGACCCTTTTGATTCCAAAGGTTGCGCACACACACACACACACACACACGCCTCCCCGAGGGGAGGCGTTTCTTTTCAATCACTCTAAGGTCCCGGCAGGTAGAGGGGGAGGTAGGGAGAGAAAAAAAGAAAGACAAAGAAGAAAGAAAAGGGAAGAAGGTGTTCCCAGCTACGACACAAGCGTCCAAGGACACACCAAAAGAAGAGAGGAGAAGGGTTCCCAGCTATGACGAAAGCAAGGAGGGAAAGAAAAGGAAGGAGAAAAGAGAGAGAGGGAAAAGAGAAGGAAGAGGACAGGTGTTCCCAGCTACGAACAAGCGTCCAGGGACACACCAGGGAGAGGGGTGAACCTGAGTATTACACTCAGGAACACCCCAACAGGCGAAGAGGGAAGAGAAGGAGGGTGGGGGGAGGAAGGAGAGTAAGATTCCGACAGGTTCCAACGAACCTTCAAAATACTTTGACCGCTCTGGTCACCTTGTGCCCTGCCAAAATGGCTGGTTGCTTAGACCGCTACGGTCACGTAAAGGCATAAGCCAGCTTGGAATTCAATAATTTAATTCAGCAAGTCTTGGCAAATAACTTTGGCCTAAGCCTACTTCGCCCGCTCTGGGCACGTACATCTCCGAGCAGGGGAGATAAAGACAAACCCCCGTTCGACGGGTCCACAGGGGCCATTTTGGTCACCTTGGGCACTCACGAGGAGAGACACACTTACAGAAATGCGTACTGACTTGAAAGCGGGACCACAACAAGGGACCACAAGGGACCACAACAAACCAAGGGACCACAACAAGCAAACAACAATTAAAGCAGGTACAGGTGGATGATCAGTCCACCCTTCCCTCGTCATACCGTAGCTTCATTGCGTACGGTAGACCCGGTATGTATGACGAGCCGTACCCCCCTGCTGAATAGGTACCCCTAGGAATGGGGTGCGACACACACTTATGGATATACGGAACTGAAAGCGGTGCCACACGCCGGCCTAGGGTTCCAATTCCTAAGGGTACACGTACGAACCACTGGATCCTGGAGGTCTTCAAGAGGAAGAAGGCCCAAAACGGAAGAACGAGCGACGAACCGACAAGTTGACGTCGTAGCGTGCAAGTCTGCGGCTACTTAGGAATCATGTCAGGAGGTTCTGGGCTTAGCCTCATGCCATTCGGAGAAAGGGAAAATTGCAGGTACGCTGGGATGATCAGTCCCAGTATCACCAGGAAATCGAGAGTGTCTTCGTTGGTGGCAGACTCTCGTTCCTGCTGCCACCCCCTGCTGAGTAAAAACAATTCAAATGAATCCCTGTGACTACAAGGGGCACACACACACGCCTCCCCGAGGGGAGGCGTAAAGCTAAGGTGAGGGCCAATGTGCACGTGTGCGCGCAAAAGACAAAAGAATGAAGACATGACAGGAGGACGAGACGGGAGAAAGGTGCGTGCGGTTGAAATGAGAGGGGAACCAAGTGCACAGGGACACCCGATGAAGCCCACCTCATTGTAAAGACCTGGGCGACCTGAAACCTGTGTTTAAAGGTATGTAAAAGTGCACGTACACACTAAGGCCGGGACCAACGTGCACGCAAACGAAGAAAAGGATGAGATGACCAGACATGAAGACAGGAGGACATGAAAGAAAAGAGGAAACAAAAGTGTGTGAAGGGGAAGGGATGAAAGGGGAACCAAATGGAGGGGACGAAAACCGATGAGACCAAACCTCATTGCAAAGACCTAGGTGACCTGCCTCGTTTCAATGTACACGCTGTGTGTGCACCCAAGGTCGCGACAGGTTCCAATGAACCTCAAAAGTACTACGGTCCACGTTGAGGCGTTAAGCCAGCTTGGACCGCTGCGGTCACGTAAAGGCATGAGCCAACTTGGAATTCCAAAGGTGGGACAAACATCCAAATTCTTGTGGCATGAGCCAGCACGCTGTGGGCACTTACGCTTCCAATTCAAGGGAAACAACGACAAACCCCCGTTCGACGGGTCCATGGGAGGCACTCTGCGGGCTCATCCCGGGTTGGCACGAGTCACGAGGCGAAACACACTTATGGATATGCATACGGAACTGAAAGCGGTGCCACACGCCGGCCTAGGGTTCCAATTCCTAAGGGTACACGTACGAACCACTGGATCCTGGAGGTCTTCAAGAGGAAGTAAGGCCCAAAACGGAAGAGGACGAGCGACGAACCGACAAGTTGACGTCGTAGCGTGCAAGTCTGCGGCTACTTAGGAATCATGTCAGGAGGTTCTGGGCTTAGCCTCATGCCATTCCGAGAAAGGGAAAATTGCAGGTACGCTGGGATGATCAGTCCCAGTATCACCAGGAAATCGAGAGTGTCTTCGTTGGTGGCAGACTCTCGCTCCTGCTCCCACCCCCTGCTGAGTAAAAACAATTCAAATGAATCCCTGTGACTACAAGGGACACACTCACACACTTGTAGAAATGCATACTGATTTGGTTGCGGTTTGCCACACGCCAGCCTAAGTGAAAAACCTAAGAAGTCAGGTGAAGTAAGATGAACCTGAAAAGTTCCAAGACACGGTTCGTGCAAGACTCCAACTCCAAACTTCAAAGTCCAGCTTCAAAAGTCAAGTTGACAAGCAAACTCGAGCGACGAATGCATTAGCCCTTGAATGCACATCCGCCGACCTCTGAAACCTCACCAGCCTGGGCTCTAGAGTGGATTGTGGTTACTCAACGCCACACACAGTTGCAGGTACAGTACGTCGACAGGGCGTCTCCCGTCGATATCACGAGCAAGAGATAGGTGTCTTCGTTGGCACCTGCCCTATCCCTGCTCCAGGTGCCCCCTGCTGAAGAAAGAGGAAAAGTACAACAAACATTCCAAACGGACCCTTTTGATTCCAAAGGTTGCACACACACACACACACACACCCACGCACGCATGCACGCATTCTGGTGAGCTGCTGCTCATTGCAAATCCGTTCACCGACAACTTCCGATCTCACTCATGCAACACCCGAAGCCTTCATGTAGTAGTCCTGGATTTGATTAATGTATTTGAGTGCCAATGTATCATACCTGGGACACTTTAGAAGCAGCTCCAGTCTGGTGATCTCTGGCCAGGTTGCTCCACAATGGGGTTCTTGTCTGCACCACCTGCTAGCAGCTAGCTAGCAGCGCAATGCTATTGAAACGGAGACAACGAGGTGGTTCCTCAATGATGCCCAAGGCGGCGGCGAATGTAGTACTCAGCAATTTCGGGAATAACATTGGAGACGTTCCACCTGTCAGAATGACCGGCACTCCACATGCTGGAGGTCTCATGCACATCCTAAAGCAAGAACGTTGTCGAGTTGATGTAGGAGAGGACATTGTTGTCAACATCCTCACAGAACTTGCCTCAGAAGGTTTCAACCAGGCACTTGTAAAACACTGAGCTCATCTGAAATATATACAGTAATACGGGTTGGTTTGAGCAAGGCCCTGGCTCAAAGTGATCAGCAGGATAGTCTCTACAAAGATCAGGAACGTAACAACGAGAATCTCAGCACCAATCCACGCTGCAGTCTAGATCTCATCAAACATTTGCTTTAGTGTGCTTTCGGAAACTTGACCCCCGGGGCAACTGCAATCAGTGCAAATATCACAGCTGCCAGTTTCAAACCTCCAGAACTTTGGCCGTTGACCGTGCCTTTCCCCCCTTTGACTTGCGATGCCTGCCTGTATCCACACATCTGGTAAGACTACTGCTCCTGCCTCGGCTTCGAGCACAAACATGTTACATCATTTTACTGTCTGGGGATTTCGTTAAAGCAAGTTGCAGCACGTTGTCATCGTGGCCTCCAGCACAATACCACCACCTGAGCAACAAGTGGGCTCGTGTGCAAATGTTGCACTGAACTTCAAGCTAAGGCAGCCCACAAATCACGGCCCTGGCAAATGGCTCATTGGCACTACCGGGCACTACACAAGAACTTCAATCTGTATCAATGGGTGAGTGACATGAGAAGCAGCGGGGCCAATGGCAACCGCACACTCAGCTTTCGATGGCCTCATGGCGATCACCAACAGAACATCACAACAATAGCTTGGCTGAGCGGAATGCCTGAGGCAAATTTGCGAAACTCTGCGATTTGTTCTGGAATTGGCACCACCTTAGCTGGTGGCTATGCAATGCTTTGGCTATGCAATGCTTTTTCACTTGTAGACGCAGAGTCTGCAGATGGCTTAGGCATAGGTCCGCGCTATGTCCACAATGCTGTATACCTGGTCCACATAGTCGTCAATGGCTCCTAGAGTTGGTGTGCGCAACTTCGATTCGAGAAGGCTTCAGTAGGTCAGAAGGCCTCCTCTCGAACTGTGTAGCTTGGCAAGCTTCATGTTTTTGGGAGAAGGCTGTTGCATCTGAGGCTGCAGCCAAGCGCATTCGCGGTGAAAGTATACAGGATATGTTTGACGACCCTCGGTCTGTGAAGCAATTGAACATGATCATTTTTGACGGAGAATATAGCATGTAAGAAACCGACTTGTCTTCCGTCTTGCACGACAGTGGAATCTGCCCAAAAGAAGGCTCAGCTCTGCAAAGGATGAACATGAAGTGGGGCTTCAAGGCGTGTTCGTGACAAAAGGAAATGCGCACCTCCACCAAGTTGTCGTGCAAATCCGAAATCTCAGTTTATGGGCTCCAAGCACACATACCGCTCAAAAATTGCTCAAGTCTTGCTCTTTCAACTCACCGGGACTTGCAAATATTACATCCCCAAGACTGGAGCAACATAGGCCCAGGAGATTTCCCTCAGTTTCTTTGAGCCTTTGGATGAACGCAGGCGGGCAACATTGCAGATCATCGCAGCAAGAGCTACACGGCCAGAAACTTATCTGGCGCCCTAATTATCTTCGGTGAGCTGCAGTAGTCCTGTTTCGTCATTTTGCTTTGAACAGCTTTGGCCTCTAGGTGGCAGTGGATTCACAAGTTCGCTTCGGAACTCCATCAATTTTGGTCGTTGACAGATGCGGCCAGCATGTACAAGCCGAGTCTCTTTATTCTCTTATATATACTCTTCATCACGCAAGCAGCACCAAGATTGAGGCTGGAGCAACATGCGAGGCTCTAACCACAAAGGAAAGGTCAAACGCAAAACTAATCCGTGAAGGGATCACAAAGGCACAATTTTCATTGAGCAATTTTTGAACAACCGTGTTTAACAGCGAGCACCCTTGGCGTCACCGGCCTGGTCAACATCTAAGGACATGTCCAAACGCAATCATCAAACATTCTTGCACACTATTCTCTGAGGCGGTCGCTGTCTGGTTGATGGTGAGGCTTGCATTGGCAATCTCCGCCGCGTTTTCCTGACACATACTTGTTCAGCACTTGTATCACAGGCATATCCTTGTGGCAAAACCTCATCCGCATTGATGAAATGTCCTCTGCTCTTTCCAACGACTCGAGGATCACATACTCCTGACACACTTGAATCTAGCTGGGTCAAATAGGACAGAGCTCCAAGATGTGACAGCAACACATTCTATGCCCCTGGCGGAATACTGGTAGTTTCTGAAGCGGAAAATGGCGCCAACACTGAGTGCAGCGCACCATGCAAGTTCCAATAGCAGTCTCTTGCACCGTTGCTGGCCCCATGCTGACTGAGCTCTTTGCAAACACATCCAGAAGATCAGCAACGATGTGCAAAACATAGGGCAACACCTGAGATGACTTGGTATGACTCGATATTAGCTAGGGACCTGGACTGGGACAGGACGGGGCCGACTTGCTGAGTCTCTGAACGCTGGCCGCTTCTTCCAGGCCCGTCGAGCAAATTCCTCCTCTGAGATTAATGGGCGTCCCGTTTTGCCTGAGATCAATGGCGTTCACCATGTACCAACGACCAGCGAGTACGGCTGGCAAGGCCTGATACCAGGCCAATATTTTCGTCCTTGGAATGTCGTGGTGGGAGAATGTGACAAACACATTTTGCGGAACAAGGTCCCAGCATGCTGAACATCGGAGAAATCCATGCTGTAGTGGTAGCCTTCAATCATTTTGGGTGACTTCACAGCACAAACTGCTGAATGTGGCATTTCGAGGAACTGACCACTACCTCCTCCGCAGCAAATGCATGCCTTGAACTTAAATCTGGGGAGGACCCGCGCTGCGCCAGTGGAGATTTGATTGAATAAACGCATTAGTGAGCCCCGGGCACATGTGGTGATTGACACTACGATGCCAATCAGCAAAAGCAATAGAGGTACAGGGATGATCCTCAGGACTTGCTGCTAACATCGCGCAAACTGAAAAGTGCACTGGGCAGCCGGCTGCAGTATATGATTCATGTACTCGTTTTGCAGCCTGAAAAAAGGTTTACAATTTTGCACCACACACATACACACACATATACATATATATATATATATTATATAAATATATATATTTGTACAACTGCAGAATAATCAAAAACATTTACGGCCGAATGATGGCCTAATGCTTTGCCTTCACTTCTGTTTTGCATTGGCCACATCTTCGGTGCCACTGAGGGCAGAACTCTTCGTATTTCGGAAACTGTTCCTCGGACAGATTCGCAAGTCGCTGAAATTTGCTGCGGTGGTTATTTGGCGTTCTGAGTTCTGATGTTTTGATGCCTGGGTTCTGCACCATGCTGCTCATGGAGCTGAAAAGGATGAGAAAGTTGTTTGGGTGGAAGGGAGGTGGTTCCTCAGTTCCCATTCAAGACACCAAAATGAAATGATAACACAAATCACACTTCCCTCGTGCAAACCAACAAGTTTGGACACGTGGGATTTGCCGACTACCGCCCGTTTTGCATCGTTTGCCCTTTCTGTTTTCACGCCTGGGCGAGGCATTTGGCGTTTTGGGTGAAACCTGCTATTCTCATGAAACACGCGCTCACTCACTGTATGTGGAGCCAGCTGCCGCCACAATCTACCATTTATTACTCTTGACTTGTCTGAGGCTGATCCTCTGGCAGCGGCGCCTGGTCGGCAATTGCTTCGAGGAGAATGTCCTTTGCCCGCCTCAAATCATTGTTGGTATCATCAGCCTCGGAGACCCAGTACTCATAATCGTGCCCATGTTTGCTTAGCACAGCCGGCGTCTTCAGCAACTCCTGAATGTTGTCCCATGCTTTTCCGCTGTCAATGCTGAACAAAAAATCTGATGCTTTCCGAAGACCAGCAGTTGCCTCACCTGCTCCAAAGCTAGTTGGTTCCAAGTTGATCTTGCTTGAACGTGGGCCACTGGAGAGGAAACTAGTGCATGTGCTCGGCACGAGGAAAGAAGCTAGCGCACTTTTAAAGCCTTCCGGCTGGCAAAAAGGCGTTGAATTGACATGATGGCTGGCAGCCTCGTCTCCATCACCTTGTAGAAGCCTTGGCAAGGACACGGCCGGCATAGTGCCACAGTCTCAGTCTCAGGATGCCTTTGCCTACATCTCTTGTGACAAATCTTGGGCCGATAACTGCGCCAGTGCACGGCTCAACTCCACAACCAAACGTTCAGTTAATAGAGGTGAACCTAAACTGATTGAAATGTAGGGTGAGTGAGATGCAGGATGTGCCAGGGAAAATGGAATGCCGAGGTGCATTGGGAATCAGCCCCCCAAAATTGTCGGACAGTTCTGGCGTAACATGTGCACAAACATGAAAGATCCAAATAACTAAATTTGCTTACATACACAAGCATGAAATGTTTGTCACTGTCATATGTTGTATGCCGTTCCCTCTGGCAGAGCGTGGTTGTGTGCAATGCTTGGATAGCTTAGGCCCACACAGCGCCCTTAATGCACACCTTCCAAGCAACCAAGATAAAATGGTGGCATGCAATGTAGCAACTGAGGTCGACTGGGGTTGCTTCCAGCCTGTGGTTTGCACATTTCTCCATCTTAGTCGCAACACCCACAGCATATTTCTTGGGAGAACCTGCCTTTGCACATGCGCAACATGTTGGGTGCTTCTTCATGTCCGTTCGTCAACCGTGTTGTTTAACTTTTGTAGCCCATCCGGAAACTTCCAAAGCCATGGTGGAAGACATTCGTGACTCTTGCCCTCACACGCCTGATCTTGGAACTTGGGCCGGCACCGGCGCAGTAACCATCTTTGCAAAGGCACTTCCCCAGAAAACAGTCAGTAGGTCCTGAAAAAATTCGTCTGCACTCACCGTGCGCTTGAGGTTCATGTGAGCAGTCCTTTCGATGAACTGCATCCAAACATGTAGCATGTTCCCACCTGGACACTCTGACAGTGGCTTTCAGTTATTCAATTCCCACGTGGAAGGAAGGCAAAAGAACAGCAAGGCGAAGGGTCCAAGAAGTTGTAGGTGTGCAGAAGCGCTCAGCAACGGTGGAAAGCGGCGGAGGGAAACCTGTTTGTGGGGAAGTATCGTGAAAGAACCATGAATCAAACCGTTGGAAAGGAGGGTGACAGCTTGTGAAAAGCTCAGCAGGTACACACCGAGACGTCTCTCAGTGCTTCCCATCTCCCTGCCTAGCTTTGTTAGACCAGGTTAGCAGCGAGATGCCTGGTCCCCCTGCTGAAAGTGAAAATCGAAAAGGAAACCTTGAGGTGGAAACCCTTAGGTACAGGGGTTGACACACACACACACGTGGCCGTTTGCGGCGCAACGTGGGACCTTTTCGTAAAAAGCGCTCGCACTCTCTGGCAAAATCCCTTTAGGACATACAATCGCACTAACTCATCGGCTGCTGCAGCTGCTGTGGTTTGTGGGTAGCTGTAAGTGTAAATTGCATGTAAGCGTGAGGCAAGCCCTGACAAAGCAAGGCGCTGGCTTCCTGCGCTGGGTCCCGGATCTTCCAGGATTGGTTGGGTTGGGTGTAGGTGATTAGAGTGAAAAACGAGTTAGAACTAGAGAACTCCACAAGGGAGAAACATGAGGACAAGTGGAAATTGAGTTTGAAACGTGACGTGCCAAGTTGACCATGGTGGAAAATATGTGACTGTACACTTTTGAATTTGAAAGTAGGCTGCAGGCATGAATCGGATCCAGTTCCTTCCGTGAAAGCCCGGCGGCTTATGATTCAGGCAATCCAGTGGTGACACTAAGTCGGTTAAGAAAATCCGAGGTAAGGTGGAAGCGGTGAAAGCAGTTACACGAATTCCGGAATGAGAACGGCGCCTCCTTGCGGAGGATCACACCCAGCACCCAAGTGGGACGACTGAGCGGTTCACACCCTGACATTGGTTTTCAGTTACTCAATTCGCACGTTCAACGAAGGCGAAAGAACAGCAAGGCGAAGGGTCCAAGAAATTGTAGGTGTGCGGAAGCGCTCAGCAACGGTGGAAAGCGGCGGAGGGAAACCTGTTTGTGGGGAAGTATCGTGAAAGAACCATGAAACAAACCGTGGAAAAGGAGGGTGACAGCTTGTGAAAAACTCAGCGGGTACACACCGAGACGTCTCTCAGTGCTTCGCATCTCGCTGCCTAGCATTTGTTAGACCAGGTTAGCAGCGAGATGCCTGGTCCCCCTGCTGCTGAAAGTGAAAATCGAAAAGGAAACCTTGAGGTGGAAACCCTTAGGTACAGGAGTTGACACACACACAGACACTTAGAATATATACTCGCAAGGGCACGGTCGACGAATGCGCTAACACTTTGCAACCTGGCAAAACTACGTTACTAATGGTTCTGAGCAACCCGCAACATGAAAATCCCAGGCAGCACTGTCTAAATCATCCTCTCTTTGCGGGGCGTCGATCCAGCGTCCTGGATTGGCTTCACAAATGCAACGCGGGCGCCTTCGCTGGTGCCAGTCCAGTGTGCATCCCTGGCGCCCCCTGCTGGATATGAATACTGGAGACAAGAAAAAGGAACGCCTGCGAGATTCCCTTTGTAACAAGGAGCGCGACACACACACACACAAACACCCGCACGGACAGGAATGTACAGGACACATTTTGCGGTGCGTGAAGCTGTTGTATACTCAATATTGGTACTCGATACTTTTCCTTTACAGTCTTACAGAGACTGAGAGACTCAGGCATGACAGTCAACCAAGCACATGAGCACATATCATGAAGACATGATCACGGGGGCCAACTAGGACCAACTTTGCAGTTGAAAAGAGCGCTCCGCACCTTTTCATGGTAGCAGAGCCCTGGTCATAAAGCACTGGGGCTCCGTTACCCACGCACTTGCAACACGAGCACTACGAGCCCCGCGGCACCTTCATTCCCTGTCGCTACGACGCGGACATCGAGGAGTACCAGATCCAGGGGAGGAACTACATTCACGGCCATTTGGCTGATCGAGCTGCTTATCCTTGCCGGTCTCTCCAGCAGGGTTGGAGCAGCTGCTGTTCAGGAGATCCAGTATTTCCAGGCCAACTCGATCACACCGAGGACAGGGAAGTCAAAGCTGAGAAGGACCTTCACATTGCGAAGATCAAATGGGTGAAGAGCGACAAAGCCTTACGAGTGTCCCTCCTCCTAGTGCAACGGGAGGATTTGACTGAGCTCAAAAATGATTGTGGTGGCGCCAGCAAAGTGGTGGTTCGTGAAGAAGATCGAATTGCTGAGGGACAACACAGAGCAGGAGAAGTTGAGTGAGTGAGCTAGTGTTCAACTGACGGCTGGCACCTTCGACAGCTCAGCAAGTGTTGAGACGGTGGAGACCAAGGCCTACTCCGAAGGTCTTTGGCTGGAAAACGATGGCTGAAGAGAGCTTGAAGCAAGTGGCAACTGCACTTGAGCGCCTGGCCATCAACCAGGCTTGACAGGGCTGGGCACGGCATTTGAAAGCAAGGACGTGTTCAAGCCGGATGGACGAGAAGCTGAATTGAAGCTATGGAGCGATTGGAAGTTCTCCTTTCTGAACTATGCAGGGCCTGGGCCCGTCGATGGCTCAGAGCATGGATTTGGTTGAGAGCAATGTGGAGGCGAACTATGACATCGGAGATATGACAGATGAGACGAAGGCCAAAGCAGTGCGACTGTACAGCTTGTTGACCTCATACCTACGCCAACGCCCTTTGAAGCTCATTCGCCATGTCAAGAATGAGAACGGCTTGGAAGCTGAAAGAGATGCAGCCGGCTAGCAGAGCTAGAGCCTTGGCTTTGTTGAGTCAGCTTGCCTTTTGCAGAAGGGAAGTCAGTCTCTGAGCAGCTTCCTTGGAGTACGAGCGCATCTCGAACCAGAAGCACTCCGATGATGCCAAAAACGTTGCAGTGCTGCTAGCGTGTACTCTACAGATCCGGCAGCAATTTGCACCTGTGGCTGACTGATGCCACGACATATGATCAACTGAAAGATCGCATCATCCAGCTGGAGGCAGTGACAACCACATGGGATGGCTCGAACAGCCACATGCTCCCCACTCGCACCTTGGGGGACGATGCAACTCCTATGGAAGTACCGTGGACTACATCGGCAAGAGTGGCAAAGGAAAGGAGGCAACAGCAAAGGCAAAGACTCCAAGGGCAAGAACAAGGGCAAGGACAAAGGAAAGAGCAAAAATGGAAAGGGCTCTTGGAAAGGCTCTGACAAAGGAATGTCCATGTGGGACAAGGGGCCTGGCAAGAAAGGCAAGAGCAATGACAAGGGCGGCAAAGGAGCCAAAAGCGGCGCTTGCCACATCTGTGGCAAAATGGAGCGCTATGCAAAGGATTGCTGGAAAAGAGTCGCAGGTTGAAGAACACACGAATCCTGGTAGCGCAAGCTCTTCATCTACTGGCAACACTGGTGGAAGAGGAGCCGCGTCGACGAACACAGCATCTGTGAAGATGGTGAGGTTGGAGGCACCGCGTGGTGCATCTTCATTGGAGGTGTTTGACCTTACCACACCTCGTGATGAACGCAGTGAGAACTATCCATGGCGTGTGGGCATGGTGAACCTCATAGGTGAGGACTATGAGATCGAGGAGTTCTACGACTTCAACGAGTTCGAGTATTAGGGCTGCTATGAACCTGCAGCAGCGGTGCCCAATGGAGTGATGATTGTGGCCATGGACCTTCAGAGGAGGAGATGGTCGTGAACACGGTGAGGATGAACTATGAGGAGAACGACGAGAAGTGCCTGACCACTCTGGACAGTGGAGCCGATATCTCGGTTCTGCCTAGATCCTATGCAAGTGTTGGCACTCGACAATATGGACGGGGTGAACTGAAGATGGTCGATGCCTCAAGTGAAGGCTGCCGTCCACATTGCCCAATGACCATCCCTTCCTGAGCAGCTTGCCTAGCTTGCCTGCGCAAAGGATGTCCACCTGCTTGCCACCTCTATCAACCAACCTGATCTTTGTCGTGTAACCCCGTCATGGGCTATCTTTCGTCCTTGGCGCAGGACATCCCATCGAAACTCACTGCAGTGTGAGGCTAGGATCTTCGCGGTGCAGTCAGAGAACATGGAGATCCAGAACCAGGACGTGAGAGAAGAGAGGACAGCACGAGCCTTGGCTCTACAAGGCTATCTGAGCAAGTACGTCCAGAGATGACCCAGGCTGGCATAGGCGACTCAATCGATCAGCGTTGAGAAGGTGAACAATGATGCGCTCCTTTTTGAATGCGCTTAGAGCGCGATCGTGTGTCCATTCCTGCTGTGTCCATGTGGCCATGCGTCTACGGTCCTGAACTCTCTAAAAATCTTGTCGCGCCCCTGATGGCCATACAGACACAGAGTCAGTACATGGCTTCACACTTCTGTTGGCACGATGGGCCAAATGCTTGCAAGTCGACACTGTCCTGAATTTGTCACACATCCACTGCATCTTGTGTAGGCAGCTTTGTGCTCGATTCGTTCGACTGTCGGCCTTTGCCTCGGCCTCAATTGCTTCACGCTCAGCCACCTCCCACGCCGTCTCGGCCTTGTCTGAGCGGCGCTCGAGCTCCTTGGCACGTTCATCATCAGTGCCACCAAGCTTTTGAAGTCACACAAGGCTTCATTGTGTTGTTCTTGCAAAACCATCATCTGCATGTTCACGTCCACATGTCTCAGGCTTTCATAGCTTGGTTGCGCCACATCTGTTCATCTTCTCTCAACTCTCTCATCTTTTCCGGTTGATCGGCATAGGCTGCCTCCACTTGGATGATCTTCCATTGCATATTGATCTTTTCTTGGTTCTTCATACTGAGCCTCTTCAGTCTGAGTCTTTTGTTCTTTCATGTCCTTCTTCTCCTTTCTCTCACGCCATGCTCCATCGTGAACTCGTCCTCCATTGAATCATTGCACAATGCTCAATGCAAACCGCCGTGCCAAGCTCAAGGCTCGAACACTC